TCTATAGCCAAACACCACAGAAAAAAACTGTAGCCTCATCCCCAACCATGCTGCAAAGACTGAGTGGGGAGTCTAGATTTCCTTCCTCATCAGGCCATAAGAAGAAGAGGCTATAACAAAAGATACAGCATTCATGTTATTGCTGTTTTGAAAGGAGAGAAGAAAAGCAGGGCTGAAAAAGTACTTGAAATAATGCCTGAAAACTTTCAAATTTAGCCAAAAAAACCTCTTCCCCTCAAAACAAAACACAACACTATAAACCCACAGATTCAAGAAGCTGAGCTAACCTCAAACATGTTAAACCCAAACAAATCCACATCAAAATACATTACTGACAGACTTCTGAAAACTAAAGACAAGGAGAAATCTGAAAAGAGTGAGAGAGAAGCAGCACCTTCCTTTAAGAAAAAACCAATTTGAATGACAGGAACTCTCATCAGAAAACCTGAAGGCCAGAAGAAACTTGCACAACATTTTTCAAGTTCTGAAGAACTGTCAACCTAGAATGCTGTATCCAGTGAAAAAAATCAAGATACATTCTCACATGAAGAAAAACCTAAAGGATATTGCCAACAGATCTACCCTAAAAGAATGGCTACAGAAGTTTTCTAAACAGAAAGGAAATGAGGAGACAAAGAATTTTAGAATGTTAGAGAGGAATTGAAAGAGTAAAAATGTAAGTAAATATAATACATTTTTCTTTTCCTTTTGGGTTTTTTCTCTCTCTCTCTCTCTCTCTCTCTCTTTTTTTAAGATTTTGTTTATTTATTCATGAGAGACACACACAGAGAGAGAGAGAGAGAGAGAGAGACAGAGAGGCAGAGACATACACAGACGGAGAAGCAGGCTCCCTGTGGGGAGCCTGATGTGGGACTCAATCCCAGGACCCCAGGATCACAACCTGAGCTGAAGGCAGATGCCCAACCACTGAGCCACTCAGGTGTCCCTTCCTTTTGAGTTTCTAAATTATGTTTTATGGTGGAGCAAAAATCATAGTATTGTCTGATGTGATTATAAATTCATGTAAAATGCGTATTTTAAGTGGTGCAGGGAAGAGTACTGCTGTAGGTTAAATTTTTTTCCCCTCAAAAAAGATATTTTGAAGTCCTAAGCCCCAGTAGCTCAGAATGTGACCTTTTTGGAAATAGGGTCATTGCAGGTATAATTAATTAAGTAATATGAGGTTATACTGGAGTAGAGTAGGCTCCTAATCCAATATGTCTGGTGTTCTTATAAGAAAACAACAATGTAAAGACACAGAAATACAAGGAAAACACCATGGCATGACATAGGCAGAGACTAAAATTATGCAAGTGAAAGTCAAGGAGTAGTAAGACTGCCAGCAAGTCACCATAAGCTAAGAAGTAAGGATGGATTCTCGTACAGGTTTCAAAGGAAATCACAGCCATACTGACACCTTGATTTCTGACTTCTAGCCTCCAGAACCGTGAAACAAAAAGTATAATTATAAACCAATATCCTTCACAATTACAGATGTAGAAATCATTAACAAAATATTAGCAATTATCATTTGGCAACATATAAAAACACTTTTATACCATGACAATGAGGTTCATTCAGAATACAAACCTGGTTCAATATTGGACAATCAATCAATGTAATAACACCATACTCACAGACTGCAGGAAAAATATGATCATATCAAGTGATATCAAAAAACATCTAGTGAAACTGAGTACCTTCCTCAACTTGGTAAACATCTAAAAACCATACAGCCGGGCAGCCCCGGTGGTGCAGCGGCTTAGCACTGCCTGCAGCCCAGGGTGTGATCCTGGAGACCCTGGATTGAGTCCCACGTCAGGCTCTCTGCATGGAGCCTGCTTCTCCCTCTGCCTGTGTCTCTGCCTCTCTCTCTCTCTCTCTGCATCTCTATGAATAAATAAATAAAATCTTTAAAAAAAAAACAAACAAACCATACAGCCAACATTGCACTTACATCAATGGTGAAAAGACTAAACACATTTTCCCTGAAACTGAAAACAAGGCACGGTATCTACTCTCACCCCTCTTATTCAATATAGTCCTGGAAGTTCTAGAAGGACAGTTAGGCAAAAAAGGATACCAAAAGCACATACATTAGAAGGGATGATATAAACTGTCCCTATTTGCAGCAAGTCTCAAGGAATCTAGAAGTCTTCTAAAACTATTGAGTTCAAAGTGGCAGAATACAAGATAAAGATAAAGAATTTCTATATAATAGCAATGAACATGTAGACACCAAAACTGAAAAATAAAATACCATTTACAATTGCTCAAGAAATGGAAACTCCAAAATGCTGACGAACAAAATCAAAGATGATCCAAATAAATGGGGAGACATGTATTTATAGATTGGAAGACCCAGCATGGTAAAGATGTGAATTTATTGCAAATTGATATGTGGGTTTAATGTGATTCCTATCAAAATCCCAGCAAAATTTTAAATATGGATGTATTTAAATATGTATTACAAAATTTATATGGAAAGACAAAGGAACATAAGCAGCTAAAACAATTTTGAAAAGAACTGAGGAATCAGGGATCCCTGGGTGGCGCAGCGGTTTGGCGCCTGCCTTTGGCTCAGGGCGCGATCCTGGGGACCCGGGATCGAATCCCATATCGGGCTCCCGGTGCATGGAGCCTGCTTCTCCCTCTGCCTGTGTCTCTGCCTCTCTCTCTCTCTCTGTGTGACTATCATAAATAAAAAAAAAAAAAAAAGGATTAAAAAAAAAAAAAAGAACTGAGGAATCAGTCTACGTGATTTGAAGAGTTGTTTTATATAGCTAGAGTAATCAAGAGAGTATGGCAGTGGTAGAGGGACAGACACACAGATGAATGTAACAAAATAAAAAACCCAGAAATAGATCCACACAAATACTTACAAATCATTTTTGGGAAAAGAGCAAAAGCAATACAGTGGAGAAATTTCAGATAGCCTTTTCAACCAGTGCTCCTGAGGCAGCTGGACATCCATATGTAAAAAAGTGGATCTTGACCTAAGCCTTATATCATATATAAGAATTAGCTGAAAATAAAGCATGAACTCAAATGTAAAATTTACAACTGTACAAAACTTTTAGAAAAAAAAAAACAGGAAAAAATCTAGGGTTAGAGAAAGAATCCTTATATTTGACATCAAAATTATGATCCATAAAATGAAAACTGATAAACTGGACCATAATCAAAATTAAAACCTTTTTTGCTCTGTGAAAGACTCTGTGAAGTGTATGAGATGACAAGGTATATAGACTGGGCAAGAAAATATTTGTGAACTACACGTCTGATGAAGGATTAGTATCAAAAATATGTAAGGAACTCTCAAAACCCAACTAAAAAATAAGAAACAATACCATCAGAAAATGGGTAAAGACACAAACATTTCAACCAAGAGGATATACAGATGGCAAATAGGTACATTAAAATATGTTCATCTTTAGGGATCCCTGGGTGGTGCAGCGGTTTGGCGCCTGCCTTTGGCCCAGGGCGCGATCCTGGAGACCCGGGATCGAATCCCACATCGGGCTCCCGGTGCATGGAGCCTGCTTCTCCCTCTGCCTGTGTCTCTGCCTCTCTCTCTCTCTCTCTCTGTGACTATCATAAATAAAAAATAAAAAAATATTAAATAAAAAATAAAATATGTTCATCTTTAGACATTAGGGAAATGAAAATTAAAACTACAATGAGAGATCAGCACATACCTATAAGAATGGCTAAAATAAAAAATAGTGACAACATGAAATATTGATAAGAATGCAGAGAAACTGGGTTAACTCAAACACTGCTGGTAGAAATGTAAAATGTCAGACCCACCCTGGAAAATAGCATGGCAGTTCTAAGAAAAACTAAACATATAACCATGATACAATTTAGCAATTCCACTCTGGGTATTTATTCCAGAGACTGGAACATTTATATTCACACAGAAACCTATAAACAAATGTTCATAGCAACTTTATTCCTTATAGTCAAAAACTAGAAACAATTCAGATGTCATTTAACAGGTCAATGGTTATGCATCCATACCATGGAATACTACTCAGCAATTGAAAGGGTTGAACCACTGACACATTCAACAACTTGTACTTATCTCCAGTAAATTATGCTGAGTGCAAAAGGCCAATCCCAAAGGTTATATATACTGTATGATTCCATTTACATAATATTTTTGAAATTAAAAAAATTATAGAAATGAAGGAAAGATCAGTGAAGTTAAGGATAGCTGGTGAAAGGATGGGGTAAGAAGTGGGTATGGCTTTAAAAGGACAACACAGGGATCCTTGTGGTGATGGAATTGCTCTGTATATTGACTCTGCCACTGTTAAATCCTGGTTTTAATATTGTACTATAGTTTTGCAAGACATCATTGGAGAAAACTGGTAAAGGGTACAGGAGATTTCTATTATTTTATAATGCATGTGCTTCTATAATTACTTCAAAATAAAACGCTTAATTAAAAAAAGAAAAAAAGGATAAATCAATAAATCATGTTATTTATTTATTGAGCACATGCTATGTGGCCAGGTCATGTGGAAGGTACTCACATGAATATTTATTATTTAATCTTCATAAACTCTATAAAGATTATAACTATTTCCTAAATCATTTCTCTGGAGTACTGATTCTTTGTGACATTAACAATCTTCCTTAAAAAGTGTTTTGTAAGAAGGGTTTTGAGTCCAGTAGTTTGAGGAACACAAAAACAATTTTTATTTTTACTATAGCATTTTTCAAGGCAATATACTAATGTACATTACAAATATTCAAAAGGAGACCATCATACATAGGTTTCCTCTAATTTTGGAACTTTTGTTTTTACAGGATGCCAATTAACACCTTGTTTAAAGAACTAGTATTCATTATCTTATACCACAATAAATGTTGGCCTAAAGCTCTCTATCAATATTACTGCTAGAGTTGCGTTTTATGTATTATTTCAACTTAGGCTATAGCTTTATTGCTTGAATATAATTTAAATAATGGCGTTGATCCAAACCACTTACCATGTAACAATATAAATAGATCGAAGTACTAATGTGAAGACCAACATTCCATACATAACCTGAATAAGAAAGGAAAAATGAAGTTAGTAAAATCATTATTCTTTGGCAAAGGAAGTATATTTTGCCTACAAAAATAGCCCTCTCAATAAAATTTATTATCTTTGGTTACATTTTATTTATTTCTTTATTTATTGAATTTTATTTATTTATTCATGAGAGACACAGAGCATGAGAGGGAGAAGCAGAGACACAGGCAGAGGGAGAAGCAGGCTCCATGCAGGGAGCCAGACATGGGCCTCGATCCCGGGTCTCCAGGATCACGCCCTGGGCCGAAGGCAGCGCTAAAACTGCTGAGCCACCTGTGCTGCCCCTTTGGGTTACATTTTAAAGAACAGACTTTTTGCATATATCTTCTCCCATCCATAGGTTGCTTTCTAGTTTTGTTGATTGTTTTTTTCACTGTGCAACTTTTTATTTTGATGAAGTCTCAATAGTCTTTTTTGCTTTTGTTTTTCTTGCCTCCAGAAAAGGATGGCAAGGATATCTAGAAAGAAGTTGCTACTGCCGATGTCAAAGAGGTTACTGTGTTCTTCTTTAGGATTTTTATGGTTTCAAGTCTCAGATTTAGCTCTTTAACCCATTTTTATTTTATTTTTTAAAGGTTTTTATTTATTCATGAGAAAGAGAGAGAGAGAGAGAGAGAGAGAGAGAGAGAGAGAGGCAGAGACACAGGCAGAGGGAGAAGCAGGCTCCATGCAGGGAGCCCGATATGGGACTCGATCCCGGGACGCCAGGATCACACGCTGGGCTGAAGGCAGGTGCTCAACTGCTGAGCCACCCAGGCCAGGGTACCCTCTTTAACCTATTTTTAATTTATTTTTGTGTATGGTGTAAGAAAGTGGTTCAGTTTCATTCTTTTGCATGTGGCACTCCAGTTTCCCCAACACCATTTGTTGAAAAGACTTTTTCCCATTGGATATTCTTTCCTGCTTTTTTAAAGATTAATTGACCATAAGGTTGTACGTTAATTTCCGGATTTTCTCTTCCATTCCACTGATCTATGTGTCTATTTTTGTACCAATTATCATACTGTTTTGATTATTACACCTTCTTAAAAAATGTAAATTCAATTAGCCAACATATAGTATACATCACTAGTTTCAGATGTAGAGTTCAATAATTCATCAGTTGTGTAACACCCAGGGCTCATCAGATCATGTGCCCTCCATAACACCCATTCCAATTACCCCTTCCTCCACCCACCTCTCTTCTAGCAACCTTCAGTTTGTTTCCTATAGTTAAGATTCTGGCGTGTTTTGTCTCCCTCTCTATTACTTCCCGATCAGTTTTCCCTCCCTTCTCCTATGATCTTCTGTGCTGTTTCTTATATTTCACATATGAGTGAAACCAAATGATACCTCTTTCTCTGATTGACTTATTTTGCCCAGCATAATATCTTCTAGTTCCATCCACGTTGATGTAAATGGTTAAGTATTCATCCTTTATAATGGCTAATATTCCATTGCATGTATGTATGTATGTATGTATGTGTGTGTGTGTGTGTGTGTGTATCACATCCTCTTTAATCATTCATCTGTTAGACATCTCTGCCTTTCCATAGTTTGGCTATTTGTGGACATTGCTGCTATAAACATTGGGGTGCGTGTGCCCCTTCGGATCATTACATTTGTATCTTTGGGGCAAATATCTAGCAGGGCAATTGCTGGGGAATCTCCGTACTGTTTTCCAGAGTGCCTGCACTAGCTTGCATCCCCACTAACAGTGTAAGAAGAGTCCGCTTTTTCTTCATCCTTGCCAACATCTGTTGTTTCCTGATTTGTTCATTTTAGCTATTCTGACTGGTGTGAGGTGGTATCTATAGTGATTTTGATTTGTATTTCCCTGATGACAAGAGATGTTGAGCATTTTTTTTCATGTGTCTGTTGGCCACCTGTATGTCTGCTTTGGAAAAAATGTCTGTTCACATCTTCTGCCCACTTCTTGACTGGATTGTTTTTTGGGTGTTGAGTTTGATAAGATTTTAAATAAATTTTCTTGGATACTAGCCCTTTATCTGATATGTCATTTGCAAATATCTTCTCCCATTCCAGACCTGAAGTCTGGAATTGTGATGCCTCCAAGTTGTTTTTCTTTTTCAAGGTTTGCTTCTGCTATTCAGGGTCTTTTGCAGTTCCATACAAATTTTAGGACTGTTTATCTGATAGAGGGTTAGTATCCAAAATACATTAAAAAAAAACTTAAAAAAACTTGGGGTACCTGGGTAGCACATTTGGTTAAGCGTCCAACTCTTGGTTTCAGTTCAGGTGATGATCTCAGGGTTATGAGATTGAGCCCCAAATTGGGCTTGACGCTCAGCACAGACTGCTTGAAATTTTCTCTCCCTTTCCCTTTGCCCCTCCTCCAGCTTGTGCTCTTTCTACCTCTAAAATAAATAAATCTTTAAAAAAACCTTATAAAACTCAACATCTGAAAAACTAATAATCCAATTAAAAATGTGAAGACACCAACAGACTATTCTCCACAGAAGACATACAGATGGCATAAGAAAAGATGTGACACAGACACATGAACACATGAAAAGATGCTCACCATCGCTGATCATCAGGGAAACACAAATCAAATGAGTTATTATCTTACATCTGTCGGAATGGCTAAAATCAACAATACAAGAAACAACAGGTTTCTTGTTGTGACAAGGATGTGGAGAAAAGGGAACCCTCATGCAATGTTGATGGTCATGCAAACTGGTGCAGCCACTCTGGAAAACAGCAGTATGAAGGTTCCTCAAAAAGTTAAAAATAGAACTACCCTATGATCCAGCAATTGCACTACTATATATTTACTCCAGGAATACAAAAATACTAATTCGAAGGGATACATTTATCTCAATGTTTATAGCAGCATTATCTACCCGAGCCAAAATATAGAAACAGCCCAAGTCAACTGATAAATGGATAAAAAAGATGTGGTATAAAGAAGGGGAGCTAGGATGGCACATAGTAGGAGGACCCTAGGCTGGCCTTGTTCCTTGAATGCAGCCAGATAACTATCAAATCATTCTGAATACCCAAAAAATTAACCTGAGGACTGATACAACAAACTGCACAACTAGGAGAGAAAAGACCATAGCAAGGAATGTAGGATGTGTGGAGACATGGTTTGGGGGAGAAACACTTTATGGGTATTGTGGAAGAGGGGGAGCCTTTGTCATGGAGAAAGGTGAGAGAATGGAGTGCACAGTGATTGATACAAAGAGGATACTTCCCTAAAGCTATTGGTTGGGAAAATGGAAGGGGCTAATTTTCACGAGTTTTTGCAACCAGCAGGGCTCAAAAGACTGGGGTTATGGAGGTTCAGGGGTTTGTCTGGGATAGATAGAGACCTGAGGGCACTGCCCTGCTCCTGGAGAGAAGGCAGGCAAATGTCTCTGGGGCAGAAGGTGTGATCTGAGGATTACCCGGGACACATGGTGGAAAGTAAGTGACTATTTCCTATTCCTGGAGTGCATCTGTGAGAGGTGGCTTTGCCTCTCCGGGGACAAAGGAGCCTGCAGGTGGCATTTTGCTCCTCTACCCTCACCATAGACCCAGAAAAATCTACTAAGGGCAGCTAACCTGGACACTGATTGTTTAGCCTGCTTTGTCTCTGCTCTAGTGCAGCTGCCCTTCTGGGTCAAACCTGCATTAGTTCCAGCATGTCATGACCCTCACCCAAACCCAGCTTGGGTTCCTGCCACAGCAAGTCCCTAAAGTTTGGAGTTTTGGAAGTTAGCAGGTTTGGCTATGATAGAGCCCAAAGTGCACTGTGCTGCTCCAGGCAGGTGAACAACTTGGAGAAAGAGGGTGAAAAAAGCGACTAAAAAACACATAGGATGTATGGGGAGAAATTATCTGCTCTTCTGGGAGGGCTTCCTGAGAACAGGGAGTGTGGAATACCTTCCCCTAGGGATAAAGAAGCTAGCTGGCACAATTTACTTTCCCCATCCCTTAAGCGTAAACCAACTTCAGTAAACAAATGCTATGCACTAACACTGGTTGCCTAATGCTTATACCAGGTCCCACCCCTTTGTGCTACCCTGGTACTGCTTTTCTTGGGCAGGTGTGCCTAAGGACTAGCCCAGTGGGCCTCTTCCCCAGAAGACAAGCACAACCCTTCCTAGCCCTAACATATCTACTAACCAAAAAATTCTGTACTTTTTTTAACTTTAAAAAATATTTTTAACTGAAACACACAAACACAAGTGCTTAAAAGATTTATGTCTATCATAAATAAATAAATAAATAAATAAACCTTTAAAATAAATAAATAAATAAATAAATAAATGGAATCCTGTATGTGTCAAGCTTCCTTTACCCAATATTATGTTTATGAGCCTTATTCAACTTGCTATATGAGCTGTGGCGTATTAGTTCTCACTATTTAATATCCACTTCCTGTTTAATAATTTATTAATATTATCTAATAATAAATTAAATATAATTTAATAATTATATCTAAAATGGTTTATTTAAAACTAAAAATTAATATATTGACAATATTTCATAAATTAATTTTATTTGAATATGCATATTTTCTTTTTCTTGGTTATCATATGAGGGACCTATTTCATTAAATAGGTAATAATTATTTCAAGAATTACTTTAGGTTTTTGTTTTGTTTTGTTTAAATAGAAATTTACTTGCTTATAGTTCTGGAGGCTAGAAATATAAGGTAAAGGTGCCAGCAAGCTTGGTTTCCTCTGAGGGACTCTCTTCTAGGCTTGTAGGTGGCTATCTTTTTCTGATGTCTTCATATGATTTTCTTCTGTGTATGACTATGTCCTAATCTCTCTTTATAAGGACACCAGTCATATTGGATTAAGGCTTATCCATATGAACTCATTTTACCTTAATTATCTTTTTCAAGGCCCTGTCTCCAAATACAGTTAAGTTCTTTTTTTTTCTTATTAATTCCAGTATAGTTAAGTGTTATATTAGTTTCAGGTGTACAATACCATTACTGTAATTCAACAGTATCACAATTGTTGAATCACCATTCA